GTGTATGTGTTTGCAGAGGTGTTTGTAGCAAAATCCTTTAATGATAGTAGTGGTATTTTATTTCACCCAGCTTAAATTAGCTTGTGTAGAGATTTTGCAAAATGAATTTTATGGTTGCATAAACTGTCATACAATGTATGGTGGTGTCGTTTTGTGAACGAAGAACAATTTAGTGATGGTAATTGGCGATAGTTGGAGGAAATTATTGGCCCTGGAGTTTATATAAATCAAATCAAATGGAAAGTTGTTGCAAGTGAGGATTTTTCGTGACTCCAGGAGAAGGAATAGGCTTCGAAACAAAATGGGTTCACATTATACGTGTATGTAATAGTAATTATATTGGTAATTGTAATTGTTTTAGTAATGGTAATTGTAATTGTAATTATAATGGTAATGGTAATAGAGTCTAATGGTAATTGTAACGGTAATGGTACCAGTAATAGTAATGGCAATTCCACTGCTGATGGCAATTGTTATGAAAATGGTAATGGTAATGGCAATGGCACTCTTAAAGGCAATGGTAACGGTAATGGTAATAGTATTGGTAATGGTAACAGTAATGATAAAGGTAATAGTAATGGTAATGGCAATAGTAATGGTAATAGTATTAGTAATAATGGTAACGGTAATGAAAACGGCAATGGTATTGTAATGGTGATGGTAGCGGTTATGGGACTGTTATGGTAATGGCAACGGAAATGGTAATGGTAAAGCAAAGATAATGTTAATGCAATGGCAATAGTAATGGTGATGGTGACTGTATTGGTAACAGTAATGGTAATGGTCAAGGTAATAGTAATAGTAATGGTAATAGAAACACCGATCCCTCCTGTCAGCAGAGCTAAACTACACTCTGATATTTGAGGTAAAATGTAAAACTATTTGATGGATGATCGTGTAGATTATAAATCCGTATATATATATACGTTTATTATACGCTAGAGGCATAGATTCGATAGGGCCCAAACCCCACACAATTCTACAGCGTTTACACGGAGTAGTGCATTCTGTCTCTTCCCTCTTCTTCAGAGGTGTAGCCGGATCACCCGCTCGCAATGGGTATGCGTCAGAAATTTGTTATCTATCAATGAGGAAGGCATAGTTCTTTCCCAAAAAAAGAAGGAAAGGATTGGGATGTTAGCTGGAGAAATAATCCCGTGTGTTTGCCAGAATTACTCCAAATTCTGGATCTCTCAAGAGACCACGGTCCTCGATGGTTTCATTCAGGTGGAGCAGCCTGAGGGCTTTGCACCTAAATCCCTGCCCCAATGTACATTCAAAATGTGATGATATCACTCCCGGAGCGTGGCCTTATTGCCCTGTAGTCAAATGAACTAGTTGTAAACTAGCCAACTATCTTTTTTCCATGCAATCAACTGGTATTTTTAACATGGGGATGTCCTATGAAATGGCAATTGTCAGATTTCGGTCAGAAATACACCAGTCTCATACTAGTTCAGAATAGACAGAAAAATACTAGTCTAATTATGGACCAAAACCACTAATTTGGGAGTCAAAAAATAAAATGAATTCATGAGAATATACAATAAAAAACATTTAAGTACACTTTTTTATTTTACATGTTTTTTATTTAGCAGCCTTAGATTTGCCAATAATTATTGTTAATTTTTTTGAGTATTAATTAAAAGAAAAAAATAAATACATAGATATTTCAATTTCCAATATCCAATACTCCTCATTTTCAGAACATCAACGAATTTACTAAACTCAGTAAATTCAACAGACGACTTCTCGGTAACAAATAAAGATTTTTTAAAGCTTTAAAATGAATTTTGACGGGGAGGAGTAGCGCAGCTCAAATGTGTCCATAAACCGTGATTTTTGTACTTTGAGGTTAGAATATCCCGAAAACCTGACGTGATCTGGGGTCAGATTCGAATTCAGCACGTCAAAGACCTTCGGAAAAGTATAGTCCGATTCTTGGTTAAAAAACCTTGTTGGCCTGTGTAATTCAAGCAGTTATTAAATATTCTTCATTTTTGTCCATAGTTTGGCTTATTGATTGATAATAGAAATTAATCAAATAATTATATTAATCGTGTAATAAACAAAATAAAATATAATTGAAAATGATCAAAAATAACAAAATAACAGGTCTGGTATAATTGAATACGTACTCAATTTAACGGTTTACGATATACCCAAAAAAAAGTTATATTATTTTGTGTACTTTATTGTATTAAACTGTCGAAGTCAAATAATACAGGGTATGAATAAATCGTTTGTACTTGGTACAACTCTGGTCATTTTCGAACTAGTTCGGTTTCTGTTAGGAAATTCTAGTTGTAAACTAGTATTTTTCCTGACTAGTTTGGGATTTCACTGCAGGGTGGAGCTAGTGCTGAAGAGAGGCTGATTTCACTTTTGTGTCGATAAAACGAAGGCACAAACGGAATCATATATGCTCGCCAACGGCCTGGATCCGCATGCGATATCTAGAATTCGATCCAGGCAGCTACGTACATATTACAAGCAATTTTAGGAGCCGTAAATTATGGGTGTGATGCCGAAAATTGAGTAAACTTTGAACACCTAGCTCACAACAGAATCGTCTAAAAACCACAGTTTTTCAATTTGGGGAAAATTTCATCAAAAAGTAAATCTCCTTTCGTTTTTTGATTTTGGTGTGTTAAGCTTGAAATCGACGTGGCTTCTGACTTTGGACCGACTAAATGGAAATGCAATTCGCCGATACGTCAGTTTGTGCCATAGCCGACGTCGCCTGTATAGGTCCTAAGTATAAGGGATAGTAGCTCCTTTACTTTCAGTTTGGTAAAGAGTTTTCTTTCACGAAAGTTCTTTTCGTTTAAATTATTTGTATGGTTGTAAGTATGTTAAGGCTTTCGCATACGTGGTTCCGGATCCATCCTAAAGATTCGACCATACTTTTCTCTGCGATCTGTATTTTTTCTACAAGAGTTTGTAAGAATGCTTAATGCATCTAAAACGTGCAGTCCAAAGACTCGAAAAAATCTAAATCACATCAGCCTGTTTCTCACCACAAACTCTGTAAGGATGCTCAGCATTAAGTATTAACCAAAGGGTATTGAGAATGGGCTTATGTGCATACCGAAACATACCATTTTCGGAGTGATGTGTAGTAAAACCAAAAGAACGAACTTAAGTTAAAAATTATCATGCTTCAATCTGAATCACAATAAGCAAATATTAACATGTCTCATTACATGCACGCGATGCACGCTCAACAAAAAGTGTCAACTAATAAAGTTATTTCGCAACTCCACAAGTTTGTCAACAATTGCTTAAATATTTTTTGCACAAAGAAACTTACTACTTGCAAGTCAACAAATCAGGTATTTTTCAACTCGAAGAACTATATGAAGAGTTCAAATTTTCCACCTTTGCTTACACGAATCCGCTTAGATTGACATATTTGTATGAAATAAGCACTGCAACATATGGACTCCAAATCAACCCACTCATAGTACTTATAGCGTCATAAAAAATCAGCCCTAATGTCAGCACAATAAATTTAAATGTTGGCATAAAGTGTTATGTGAATGTACATATGTACATATGTACTTGCCACAAACATGCAAAATATATATGTATGTATGTACTGTATTTGCGCTTGTGCAACTATTGCCTTCCTGAGACTGCCGGCTGTGTGGCAAATTTTCGCAACATAGTGAATAATTTGCATTTCAATTTTAGTCATTGCTGCCACATGCAAATATCATAAAATTCAACACCTGGCAGGCTGTTTGGTTGGTAGGTTAGATTTCAAAAAAGGGCAACATCTGAAGAACGGAAGTTTATTTGCCATTTTTCAATGCCTGTGGTGCAACTTATGGACCACATAAGTGCTATACATTCAGAGATACCTACCTACATACATATGTACATACAAAGGAGAGTTAGCAAAAGGAAAAACTAATTTTACACTTGTAAAACAAGTGTCAGCCACACAAGCTATGATTATTAAAGACGGAAGCGGTGTAAGCTCAGTGCAGATTGAAAGTTGACTTTGTGGAGGAAAATCATGTTTTCACATGCAGCAGAATGTAGAGATAGTATTTAATTAATATTGTACTCAAAAGAGAATCGATATACATATTTAGCTCCTTTTTAGGAAAGATATAAAACCACGCCACTTTTCTTACTTCGCTTCATCCAATTCCGTTATTTCGTCCGAAATACCGATAGCATAGACGATAGCGTAGACTTATTTTGAAGGCCTCGTTCATTTGATTTTCGAGCCTAAAAACGCCACCTACACAGTATTTTGTCCAGAATACACATTGACTGTTAAGGGATTTTTCTACGCTTAATCTCTGTATCTTCTTAACAGTGTCAACATTTTCCCGTCAAAAATAATCATTCGATTAAAATGTATGCAGCTAATCGGTAGGGCTCTAAAAAGAAAACCACGCTGATTTTTGATAATTTTTTCTGATTGTATTACGTAAAAAAAAAAATTGTTTAATATAAATACTTTGTATGGAAGAAAATGCGTAAAAAAAAATCCCAAAAATCAACGCGATTTTTTAGCAACTTCAAACTTGCATTTTATTATATTAGAATTTATTGGGCTATAAAACTACATTACATACGCAAAAAAAAATTCTGAAAAATCTTAATAAGAAGTTTAAAATTTAGTTGCATCTTTTTTTTATCGCAGAATTTTTATAATTTTGTATATGGTTTTTGTTAGATAATGAGCTATACTTTTATGAAAAAATAATAAATATTAAATGTAAAAAAGACAGATTGGCAATTTTTTTTAAATGTCGCGTTGCTTTTTTCCACCACTGTAGGTCCTACGGAGTGGTAGTACGCAATCTTACCGTGTCCTACGAATAAACCCCACAGAATTTAGAGCTGTGGCAATGTGAGTCTAAGGAGATTCTTAGACCGTACTCGGTATTAGCCTAGCGTTCGCTGAGTGGACACGTGGCCCTTCTTTCCTCGCTTTTCTTGGTGATACGGGCTCGAGGATGCCACTCTTGGCCAACTCATCACCCACGCAGTTTGCTGTGGTGTCACCATGGACATGGGCATCCATATACAAGCAAAATCTGGCAAATCAACAGACAGAAGCGACCGAAAATACAGTAAAGATTGCCGTAAGCTAGTCCAAGATTCTGATTGCCCTGGGTAGTTGTTGGAGTAGTTAGTTACCTCCCCTACCGGCATTACATATTTTAGCAGCTTCCTTAATCTGCAAGCCTAAATTAAAAGTTAATGGAGAGTTCCGAGGAAAATACCCTTCTACCGACCATTCCGTCAAGCTTCGACTAATCTTTGAAAAAATTCACCGCTGCCTCTCTCCAACCACTGCCCGCCGTCCACGCATTCCTCCAAATAGGATGTGCGTGGAGAAACAACTGATCGGTGCCAGACTGGCCACGCAGTCATCCGTGTTATCCAGGGATGAAGTCGAAGCCTCCAAGAATATTGGAGTGTCCGGATTCCGAATCAGATAGGTAGCCGTTGACCCTAAGCTTTAATACCGTTGCTTGCGCACTAGCTTCCGGACTTATTTACAATGAGGAATGATGTGTCCCTTGAGTCCTCTTTTTATGTAACTCTTACACGAAAATCTAGAGCAACCCTAATATACGTACATATTTACGTAGCAGACGAAAGATTGCACCGAGTTTCACATAAGTTTCTCCTTTCTTAAAAAAAAGCAGCAGAAGAGCTTCCAATCAACCAAAGCAGCTGGAAAAAAAAAACAGAAATTAATTTCAGCGGAAGTGCGCAACTTAAGCGATCAAACTCACGAAGAGCGCAGCGCATAAAATATGCAAGTCGACATATTCAAACAAACAATATGTGATAACTATGTATATATTTTCAT